CTACATGCCTTACCGTCCTGATTAATGTGTTTGTAATTGCAACCGGCGACTGATGTGCACCCTTCTTGCAGGTTACAGACTTAGAAATCACGCGCTGCTGCGACTGATCGTGGCCCACCACCTCCTCTTTTTGGGGGGACAATGGTGGGGCTCATATCTCAACTCATGCACGTAAGACCATGTTCTGAGCAAGACCAGGCTCCTGGATTACAAGTATTACATCTAATACCACCAATGCCCACAGTAACTTCCCGCTAAGTAACAATGTTCATCTTTTCCTGTTTCATCGACCACCCTGATGTTCCGTAGTCAGCCTACTTGACTCAAGATTGAAGTGAACCAAACAATAGTCAGGCCTAGTATACCGCGCCTGATCGAATTCGGTATCATATTCGCACAGTTTCATCCAATTCCCATCAAGTTTCTAATAACGTTGTGCTATTTAATCCACCTCGTCCTTAAGTTTTGCACACCAGTGTACTCCGAAGAAAATACGGCAGCTCACCTGGTAACAACTCGGCACACATTTCCCTAAAGACATGTCTTTTGCGATTTCCGTTGCGAGCCCGAAGCTTATCATTCCTACCCCGTCACTGAACGTGTATTCCTTGCTGAACGAAAACAATATTGAGAAATATAACGAGCACAAGCAGGTACGATTAGAGGTGAAAAATATCAAGACATTGCCGACCAACCTGAAGACTAAAGTCAAGGCAGATTCCGTGATAACGGAAGCGAGGTAATGTGATGTAAATAATAATATAATATGGAACAGTAGGTGCTAATTGACTCGAATTAGAAAAATGAAGCCCATTCCAATAAGGGGGCAAGGACAGCAGCACCGATGTAGCACGCGTTAATTGCACACTCCTAGGTGTTTTAGGGTCAGGAGGACCATCGAGACCACGACAACTCGCCTGCGCGCCCTTGTGACGAAAAGGACGTATCTACGAGGACCATGGGGATCCTAGTGGCCGTGCATCATGCACTGACTCCCATCATTGTTGGCACCGCGGAGTGGCCTTGCATGACAAACATAACATCCCAAAAATGCATAGCTTCCTTCGTCGATCTCTATCCACTTTTTCCCAGCCTCCGGGGCTTCTTGGAACCGAGTTATAATTTTCGTCGCAAACTCCGCCCACTTTGGTCAAATTCCGCCCATCATTGACATTCAACCTCCACTCCTTCTCTGACTCGTTCCACTTTTTCCCGGCCTCTGACAGTTCTCAAGGCCATTAAGTGCACGGCTTACGCGCTATACACAACTTGTATCAACCGCGGTCCACATAGATACACGGTCAACCCATAGTGCGCGGGCCTTCTTCCACAGTGTGCTCACCTTCGACACTGTTATCCTCTACCAACATTATTCTGCTCCGTAGGCTTTCCCTTGACAGAGTCATGAATTATTTCATCAAGCACTGCTTTCGAGAACGCACCGCCTACCACATGTCCCTAATTCGATTTGACTTAACAATATACAGTAGCGGTCGAAAGTATGGAAACTTTTTTTACTTTTGATCTTACAAAGTCAATTAAGAACGAAATTGTCTCAACTTTTTATGTATATACAAATTCAGATCTAGAATAAGAGAAGCATTATAGTTCGTCAAGAGTTTGGAAACTTTCTCCTTCCCCCACCACTATAATTCCCACTATCCAATGTTTACATATTTCTGTTAATTTCACTTAAAGGAATCTTCCACGGACCATGGACCAGTGGGCGGGACCGGAAGTGGTTTTGCGACGAAATGCATGGTAGGTACGGATCCACGTTCATGGGAAGGTTTGAAGTGAATCCTGTTCACGTTCGTGCGTTCGACACGTGGATCCGTACCTACCATGCATTTCGTCACA